CAAGGACTTGCAGGAGGACTTCATGAACGGTGCCCCACTGAAGGTATCAGAGCCTGTCGTCTCTTTCCGCGAAACAGTGACAGATGTGTCGTCTATCCAGTGTCTGTCCAAGTCTGCCAACAAACATAACCGTTTGTTCTGCCGCGGTGCCCCACTGACGGAGGAGCTTTGCATTGAGATGGAAGATGGCCTGAACGCTGGTCCTGAGAGCGACCCGAAGACACGTGCCCGCTTCCTTGCGGACAATTTTGAGTGGGACGTTGCTGAGGCGCGTAAGATCTGGTGCTATGGCCCTGATAACCGCGGTCCCAACGTTGTTGTGGACGTGACGAAGGGTGTGCAAAACATGATGGAAATGAAGGACTCATTCGTTGCGGCGTGGCAATGGGCGACACGCGAGGGTGTTCTGTGTGATGAGAACATGCGTGGTGTGCGTATCAACGTGGAGGACGTGACGATGCACGCGGACGCTATCCACCGTGGTGGTGGTCAGATCATCCCTACCGCCCGCCGTGTGTACTATGCGTGCTGCCTTACTGCTTCACCCCGTCTCATGGAGCCTATGTTCCAGGTCGACATCCAAACTGTGGAGCACGCGATGGGAGGCATCTACGGTGTGCTGACACGCCGCCGTGGTGTGATCATCGGCGAGGAGAACCGCCCCGGTACACCCATCTACAACGTCAGGGCTTACCTTCCCGTTGCGGAGTCATTCGGTTTCACCGCCGATCTGCGTGCCGGCACTGGTGGTCAGGCGTTCCCGCAGTGCGTGTTTGACCACTGGCAGCAGTACCCTGGTGACCCACTGGAGCCGAAGTCGCAGGCCAACACATTGACCCTGAACGTGCGCCAGCGCAAGGGTCTGAAGCCCGATATTCCAGGCCTGGACACCTTCCTTGACAAGTTGTAGTGCTTTTTTATTATAAAGGAAGGAAAGGAAAGTTAATAATTATATAATTTAATTTGTAAGGAAGAGTGATTGTGCGTTTGATGGAACTCATTGTTAAATGTTTAATTTTAAGTATGTTGATTGTTCTGCTTTTTTATTATTTTTGTTTTTCTTTTATTGTTTCGGATAAAAATGTTTTTTTCTGATCTTGGTGGTGATGTTTTCTTCTTCTTTCTTCTTCTTACACTATTATTATTATTATTATTATTATTATTATTATTATTATTATTATTATTATTATTATTATTATTATTATTATTGGTTTATAGATGGAAGAGACCCCACATTATTCTCGTGTATCGGATGAACCGGAATCATTGAATGTGGTAACTGGTCGTAGTGTTTATTATGGTATGCGTCCATGGCGCTGTGATGACCGTTTTCAGGATTGGCTTATTTCATTTATGCGCATGGATTCGTTGCTTTTACAGTGTCATCTTGCTAAATTACTATGGCGATGCTCTCGGTCAGAGGATGGTGCGGAACCTGTTGATGGTTACAAACATTTAGGAAGAGGAGAAGTTATGTATTATGTGGAACGCTACAAAAGTGGAATGATGCGAAGTGGATTTTTTGAAAGATATCCCTACAACCAAAATGAGTTACAGAGAATTATTGAGGAAGATGGTTTAAAGATGCGCGTTTGGAGACACCAACGTGAACTGGAGATAGAGTCAAAGCAAGGAAAGATTGACGATCTTCTTCGTATGAATGTTTTGAAAAGCACAAAAAAGTCAAAGGATGATTAAATTATGCTTTAGTTAGAGATTTACTTATCGTTTTTTATTTTTTCGTTTTATTTGCCAGGTTTTTTTTTTTCTTTGGGATGTATTTTTGTATATATATATATATATATATATATATAATTTAGTATGATGAGATTACTTACTCTCCTGTATGTAATTACTTTTTCTCTACATCATTATGGTATTCTTTTTGTTTTATATTAATGTGAGCATCTAGTTGATACCTTTGAGAGATGCATAGCAGATGGAATGGTTATGAAGAGTACAGTTTATTGGGTTGTGGGGTTTATCCCCTTCGACTTACGTCAAAGTTTACCCCTTCTTCCCCCGCACCTCGCATGAGTGATGTTGTTGAAGAGGGTGAGGAAGAGCAGGAGGATATTGTAGATGAAGCACTTTATTTCTTTAAACCTCATATGTTTTTCCGTACCTTTCCTATCAAAGGTTCTGGAGACCGCGTGATTTTGTATCTGACGATGTATCTTCACGAGTGTCTCCAAAAAATTATTGGATTGAAACGCGAAGAAGCAGTTTCCACATTGATAAATTATGCTACACTATCGTTTGCTTCACCTGGTGATAAAAACTTCCGTTTCAACAATTTCTTTCCTGCAGGGGATCAATCTGAAGAAGAAAAGTGGAAGGAGTACGCAAAACAAATTCGTATGGAGGCCGGCGTCCGACTCATAGAGAAAGTTTTTCTTTTCCCAGAAAAGGATGGCACAGGGAATAAATTCTGGATGGCATTTGCTAAGAGACCGTTCTTAACTTCAGATTAGTGATATATTATTTATGAAAAAGAACTGGAGTTTATATTCTTTTTTTTTTGTTTTTAAGTAATACGGTTTATGTTTCTATGATTCCGTATTTTATCTCTATTTATATATTTCTCTTGTTTTTTTTTTTTTTTTTTGTTCTGCAAACGATCTATACACCACCCTGGTTCATTCCATTAATTGACAAATGTTTTAAACAAAGAAGGATTATAGTTACGGAAATGCGACGATTTCAAACATGTTTCTTCTTTCTTATGCTTGCGGCACTATGCACAATGGCTGCTTCTTTTTCAACTCCCGTTGCTGCAGTTGAGGAAGAAGAGGAAGATGATATTTTCGCACGGCTTTCAGGAAATTGGAGTGTTTTTTGGCTTGCCGGGCAGCAACCGCGGCGGACTGTGTTTGTAGCAGAGATCTCAAGAGGTATTGTAGAATTGCGAGAAGAGGCGCCAATTGGTGTTATGACATCTTTTGTGGACTCCGTCGTCTCGCTGTTTCGTCCCTCAGATGATGAGAGTGAGATGCCGCAGTCGCAGTGTGTGTCAACCGCATGGCTTCGAGATGATAGGCATGTTGTGAGTGTACACTACTCAGCGGTTAATAATGGCATTTATCTTTCGGGTTGCTCGGAAGAAGTTATTCCGCTGCCCTCGTACCGAACAGAAAAAAATCTCGGTCTCGTACTGGAAGCCCCGCGTGCAGTGTATTTTCCTGTTAACGGTGTCTGCACTCCGGCTTCCTTTACTATTAAAGGTTATTGGGTGGAGCAGTTGCGTAAAAATGTGTTTCTCATGGTACTTATGTTTCATGATGGAACTCACGATTGTAGTCTCGTTTTCCAATTTATTAAACAAATATCGGATAAAAAGGAGTCATTCTCAGTTTTATGGACTTTTCTACTATTGATAATAGTTTCATTGGTTAAATTTATTCCTCGTTTTTATTTAAAGAAAACGGGAAGAATTATAGGCGACAAGAGCTTTGTAAGATCACAGCGGTACGTTCTTTCTGAAGCCAGAAGAAATCAACTCATTCAAAAACAAGAGGAAATAATTCGCCGCATGAAGGAAGAAGATGGGAAGTCACAGGGAGCGATATGATGATATGTTAGGTATTTAATACTAGTTTAACAAAAAATAAAAATAAATAATAAATGTATGTTGAATATAGTGACTGTGAATGTCTGCTAGTTAATCTTTTTCTTCCACCCACACACTTTTCTTTTTTTTTATTATTTTTTTCTTTGTTTATTTGTTTTCTGTTACTATAATCTAAATGAGACAGAGTAGTACATTTACTTATGTCTCATTCAACACTGCCGTTACAACGTGGCATAACCATAGATGATTCTTTAGAGGATAACTGTATTGACTTTTGTACATTTGAAGGATCTTCTCAGGAAGGAAAGGAATGTGTATTTCCTCCACGATTACAAGTTTGTACTAAAGATGAATATGATTGCTTTGTTCATCGATATTACGGTACTACTACTGCCGTTTTTTTTATTGTTAGTTCTTCAACTCGATGTAGCCTTGCGGCGCGTTTTTTTTGTACTAGAATTTTGCATTATTTGCGTTGGTGTGGTGAAAGTGCAATATTCTTATTAGCAGGTTCTGCGCAGCGTGGAATAGAGGTTCAGAGCTTTGAAGAAGATCCTAATGCTTGGGAGAAGTATATTAAAGATTGTCTAGTAAAAGCACTGGAGTACGTAAGTTCTAGACCCCCTCTTGGTTTTACTGCTGTTCCTGCAATAATTCTTCGTGTAGATTGTGAATCTAAGGATGCGTTCGACAAACTACATGAACTACTTCATTCAACTGGAGCATTTTTAGTCCGTCATATTTGGTTTAATGAGGGTTGGCGAGAAAATAAATTTTCATGTGAAAGTTACATTGATGTAAGTTTAAAAAGGCCGGCATTTCGTGTGTCGCGTTCTCGTAGGAGTATTGTTTGTTCAAAAGCAACTAGTTACCTCAATAGCTGTCTCCCTGCTCTCCATCGCGTATACCTTCAGGAACCTTTAGTAGGTTCTCCTGAAGACACATTAAAGTCTTTCTGTCCTGTTTTCTTTACTCGTCATGGACAGTCGGAGTATAACTTGCAAGATCGCCTGGGCGGTGATCCAGATCTTACAGATTCTGGAACAGAAGATGCTCGTGCAGTTGCTAATTTTTTTCGTCACCAGGTCCTAGACAACAAGCGTTTATTCTCTTTGAGGGATACGAAGTGGGATAATGAAGAAGGTTTTGAGGTTTGGTGTAGTCAACTAAAACGTACTCGGCATACAGCCAAACCCTCTGCGGATGTCCTCACAAACGGAAAGTGTAGAATTTTTAAGCCGTTGAATGAAATTCACGCTGGAGTTTGTGAAGATATGACAAATGAGGAAATTAAACATCTCTATCCTACTATTCAGTTTTTTCGAAACACTGACAAGGTGGGATTTCGTTACCCAAATGGAGAGTCTTACCGTGATCTCATGCGACGCCTTGAACCACTTCTCGTGGATCTACATGTCACACATAAATGTGTACTGGTTGTAGCTCATCAGGCAGTGCTGCGAACAATACTTTCATTTTTTGATGGCCCTTCAGTGGAAGAGGCAGTACATAAGCCATGTCCGCATCGAACTGTTTGGTGTTGCACATACAACCGATTAGGTGAACCTCGTTTGGCGACCATTACCCTTAATCAACAAAAGTACAATACTGAGGGAGACTGTAAGTGGAATGGTTGGTAATACACCATCGTTTATCACCAAGAAGCTGGAGGTGCTTTCTCTCTTTTTTTTCTCCTTTTTTTTGTTCTTTTTATGCGCGTCAATTTTTTTTTTTTCTTCAAGTTTTATTTTGTTCTCTTTTTTGGTTTCCTCGGGAGTATTGTTTTTATGAGTTTTTTGTTGTTGTTCATACTCTGCGGTTTTCAAGTATATTTCTTTCTTCTTGATTAAAGGGTTTCACTACCTTTTTTTTTTTGTTATTGCGTATATTTTTTAAAGAGTTAGTTTGAGGGCAATGGAATGTTTTCTAAGGTGAAAAATTCACTCGCAAGTGTATTAACGCAAGACCCTATTGGTGACTACAGGGTTGGTGCGAGAAAATTTCGTGGTGGTAAAAACAATTTACTGCATATTCAGGATGCTGTTGAAGTATCTTCAGGAAGACTTGTCTCTATTGTTTCATTGGATATCAAGGAAATTGTAGATCGTTGTGTGACAGCAGCTGAGGTTGAGGAGGTTGTACATAATTTTAAAAATGGGGTAACGTTGCTTACGCGGCTGCGACATCCAAATATCCTTCAAGTGGTCAAACCGCTGGTGGAAGGTAAAAAACATCTTCGATTTGTTACAGAGCGTATTACATCTTTACTTCCATTTGAACTATCAAATGGAAACTTTTCACAGCAAGAAAAAATTTTGGGACTTTTGAGATGTGCCAATGCGATTCATTTTATCCATGAACGTGCTGGTTACTTGCTTTGTGACTTTTCTCCTCAGGCCATATGTGTAGTCGAAGGAGAATGGAAAATATTTGATTTCTCACATGCTATTTTGGGTACAGAATCCACAAAACTAAAGTTTTCGTACCCATTTTCTGGTATTGCATCACCCGTTTTAGACTATTGTTCAACGGAAGTTATAAAAGCCTTAAAACCTAATGAAGATAATCATTTTGATCTTTTCATCTCTAATTTACCTACACTAATTGTAAGAATACCAGACAGTGATGTGTTTTCTTTTATTCTTGTTAGTGTTGAGGTACTTTCAGGAGAAAAGTTATTTGACTCTGGTGATAACATTGACCTTCATGATAGACAATACGCTGCTGTTGAGGAAAAGGTTTCCAAGTGGTTTTCAGGGCGTCCTTTGTCAGAACCACGACCATCTTTGCTTTCATTATTGAATGACCGAATTTTCACCACCGAAGATATCTTAATATTAGGATCCCTATATCAATATGATACTCTGGAAGATAATGAACGTTTTTCCCTGTTAAAGAGGGTGTACGATGGTCTTGGGAATTCATTATTTGTAGAAGTATTAATTCTACGATTGATAATTCCACTTATGTCTCGTGAAAGTTCACAGGAAGACAGACTACGATATGCTCTTCCTATTCTTTTACGATGCTCTCAAACTATATCGGAAAATGCTTTTTCAATTCATTTACGGGACTATTTTATTACTCTCCTTGCTGCAATTAGCAAGGCAGAATCATTCGATCGTTGTGGTGTGCCTGCAGAATTGGTGCTTGAGAATTTTGAAGTATTAAAAAAACGTTTTAATACAGATTCTGATAGAAATACTATCATTATTCCATTTCTTGAACGTTGTGTGGATCCTACAATTAGAAGAAAAAAAATAATTCAAATGTCTATAAATTACATTTCTCAAGAGGCTAAAAAAGGAGGTACCTTAAACTTTTCCGATTCCCTACCGGAACGTCTGATTGAAGTATCGATTGATGAACCTCAAGATATTACTTCTTTATTTTTATGTTTAGAACGGGTGGTGAGCTACGTGTCACTAACTGCGCTTTACTCGCTTGAGTCTCGTCTTGTATACCATGCCAGTAACCTTTCTTTTGATGTGAATGGTGCAAGAGATACATTGAGTCGTTTTTTAGCCCTTCTTGAACACTTGTACGGAGGATTCTCTCGAGAACACAAAGCTACCCGTAGTATTCCGTTGATTTCACACCTGTTGATCAGCAACGTAACGGAGCTATCTTTATTCAGTAGAAGAACAATACAGAAAATGGTGCTAGAGGTGACAGAAGTATCAGATATGGGAAACGGGGATCAACATTGTCTCCCTACCACATTAGAGAAAGCTCCTCCCCCTCCTCATCCGCATCTCAGAACTGATTTCTTTTCTCTACACACTACTAATTCTCACCCTACTATTTCATGAAGGTAAGTGGTGAGAGGGTTGAGTATGCATGAGTTTAATCATTTTTGGTCTCTCAATTTTGCTACTCACAATGTCAACATTTAGGTTATCTTTAAGTGTATACTTGTGCATCTCATTTTTTTTTTCCCCCACTTCAGTCATACCTTTCTCATGGTGTGTGCTCTTTTATCATCTTGTATATTTTTTTTTGTCTCTTTCTCTTTCTCTATCTCTGTGTGTGTTTGTGTTTGTGTATGTGCGTACTCCTTCCTAGTAAATCTTATCTGTAACAGTATTGTGGATTGGAGTAGGTGAAGTTTGGCATCGTAATTACAACCTTGCTCGGTTATTTCTATCCCACACTTTGTGTGGAAAAGAAGAAAAAAAAAAAACGATAGAAGCATTATTTAGCAATGTCAGGCCACGAAAATGAGAATGAATCTGGTGTGAGAGGAACTCGTGATTTATCTTCCAACTCCTCTACTGCTGAGGACGATAACAAGACGTATTTTATCAGTCAGGCCCTGTTTGAAACTTTACAGGGAAAAGGATTCAGTGACAATGCGATTAAAAAATCCATAGTAGCGGGATGCATAGACGAGGGGAGTTGCACACAGTGGATCACCATGCATGAAGGCCACCCAGAGCTTGATACCCCCTTGGACGATGGTGTGCAGGTGGTCGTCAAGGTAAAGCGTGTGCTCACCGAGGCGGAGCGGGAGGCGAAGGTGCGGGAGTTGCGAGAGAAGGCGAAGGCCAAGTCGGAGGAGGCGAAGCGGCTGGCGGCGGAGGAGGAGCGGCGGCGCATTGAAATGGGCCGCAAGGCGCTGGAGACAAAAGAGAAACTCGACGCCCTGCGGCGCGAGGCGGAGTTGGCGGCGGTGCGAAAAGAAAAGGAGGCCGACGCCATCGCCCGCCGGCGGGTGAAACTTCAGATCCTCGCAGACAAATACGTGCGGGGCGGCATGTCGCGCGAGGAGGCGCAGCGCACCGCAGAGGCAGAGTTGGAGGCGGCCGCGCAGAAGAGACGCGAGGAGTCCGCAGCGCAGATGGACAAACAAACACGTGAGGCGGAAACAACAAGAGGAGAAGTGAGGTCTGCAACGGAGTCGTGGAATTTGCAATCTATCACGGCCTCGGTGGGCACTTCCCTCGGCGATGTATTTGACAAACCTGCGGATCCACCCGCAGCCCTGCCACACTTGGTTGAAGAGATGCTCAAGTACCAAAACCATTCTATGGTACGCCAGTGCATCACAGTGCTGCGAACAATTTTGACAAATATTCACAATCACCCATTTGACATCACAAAGCGCACATTGAAAACCTCTACAAACACCTTCTCTACAAAGTTGTTACCTGTTTTACCCGCTCTTCAGCTACTTCATACGTGTGGATTTGAGCTCGTTACAGATGCAAATGGTAGTGAGTCATTAATGGCAACCACAGTGGTGATTCGCGTTATAGAAGAAGCGCTTCAATTATTACCAAAGGATGTCGAGGTGTAGTCCTCCCCCCTTCCAGGGAAAAGAGAAAAAAAAAAAAAAAGAAACAAGAAGAGTGGGAGTGGGTGACATTAAATCAAGAAGGAAAAAAAGAAGAAATCTTTCTTTTTGACAATGCTACGAGGAACGATGCCAGATGTGATGATGAAAATACATTCTTTAATAGAAGGAGTTTTTCTTTTGGGTTTATTTTCCAAAAAGAAAAAAAAAGACAGTGTGCTGTTTATAATAATAATAATAATAATAATAATAATAATAATAATAATAATATTTTTTTGTTTTTGTGACTCCCTTTTTCCTTTTTTTTTTTCTCCCCCCACAAAGAAGAAAAAAAAAAGGTAGTATTGAAAATTGGGCGATGCAAAGCTCAAGGGCTGCCACCTCGTATGATGAAATCGCACGAAAAAGAGCAGGTGATTTAAGTAGCAAAGAAACCCCTTTTCGTTTTTTTAATAATTATGTTAAGAAGACTCTTATTCAATTTGCTCTAGATCATATAAAGCGTGAAACTAATTCTCGTGACGCTATCGTGTTGGATTTGGCGAGTGGAAGGGGTGGTGATATGGGCAAGTGGCTTTATTCCCAAAGTCCAGAACTAAGCTTTGCGACGGCAAAGTTACCTCGAGAGCGTTTAGTCAAGACTGTCTTTCTTGAGTGCCACGATATCTCTCCAGAGTGTGTTGCTGAAGCTCAGAAAAGGTACGACAAACTTGCTTCAGGAGTTGAATGCAAGTGTACTTTTGCCGTTAGCGATTGTTTCAGTGAGGAATTCCTTTGTCACCAACTGCCGTCTTCAGATCATTATGGTAAGTTCAATGTGGTTTCTATCCAATTCGCTTTTCACTACGCATGTGATTCATTAGAGCGCATTGATATGCTAATGGCAGCTATAGCTGGTGCTTTATCTCCTGGCGGTGTTTTTATTGCAACAACGGTAGATGATGAGATATTGGCTGAAAGGGTCCGTGAGAAAAAATTGGAATACAAGGGGCTCTTTGCCCTGCAGTTTGACAAGGAACCTCAATGGGACGGGGCTTTGCTCGCACTAGGTACGAAGTATCGCTTCGCATTAGAGGGCTTTGTAGACTGTGATGAATATGTGGTGCCTTTATCGTATGTTCGAGAACGTGCAAAGCATTACGGCATGGAGGAAGTGGTAGAGTTTTCAAAACCTTTCCAATCATTTTATGCCGATTATAAAAATGATACGAATAAAAACAAGGGACTTTATTTGGTTCGTGGAGAAATGGAACTTGCCACGTTATACCGTTCCCTATGTTTTCACAAAATCAGATAGGTTTCTATACCTTTAGAAGACTGATTTTTTTTTCACTTTTTTTTTCTGTTATCTTTTTTTTTTCCTCCCAATAGAGTGAAAACCTTTTTTTCTCCTTTTTTATCATTATCTTGGTCAAGGAATTGTTTACTTCTTTAATCCTCACATGTTTTTGTTGTTGTTCAATTTTTCATTGTTGCTGGTAAAAGTTTTTCCTGTCTTTCTTATTTTGGTTTTCCCTTTGGATTTGGCTAGCGGTGTTTTTTTTTTTTTTGTTGTTTTGTTTTGTTTCTATTTACCATTGTAGTTTTTCTTTATTTTGGGTGGAATGTTCGCAACAGTGGCAACTGCTGTGGATGGCAATCCTCTACACGCTGTTCTTAATGAGCTACTTTCAGAAGTGCCCGATAGACCTGTCAAACCAAATATAACTACTATAGCCACAGGTAACTGGCGAACTCGTCAAGTTATACGGGAGTTGAAAGGACTCAGGTCACTCTCAGACCTCATATCAACAGAGGAACAGATTCGAGGAGTTGTGGCGAGTCAGGAGAGTAGAAGTAGAGTTAAACTTCTTAAAGCATTTCTTTCTGGTTTGTATTTGGTAGAGGAGAGAATGATGCTGTCGGAGGAGGAGATGCGTTGCCGTAACTCTCTTATTTCTATGGCAGAGTCTCTACTAAATAATGAGAGAGTTTGGTTTGGTATTGTATGGAATGAAATGTACCACAGACATTGTATTAAGAATGAATGGATAACGGGAGTCGCTCACTATAGAAGGTTTTGTGATATTGATGCACTGATGGCACGTGAACAAACCCATCGACAACGTCTGCGGCAAATCGAAAGAATAAACCGAAGGGAATATGAAGCAAGACGTTTTCTAGCAGTGAGTCGTGAAATAGATATGGAACTTTTGCGTCAGCAATCTTACCAACTCACTTCTTGGGCTCGTGATTCTTCATCTAAACTAATACTTGATATCGCTGAGCTTGTTTCTAACGAAGAGCGTGATCGCCGATCCTTGGAAAGTCTTTACTTACTTAAGCTTAGTTTAATAGCGAATGATAAGGAGAATGAGGCTGCACGACTAATTGTTAATTCTGTTGTAAAAGCATCCATGATTCAGAGAAATCGTAAGGAAACACAGAGAAGGGAAGAAATGATTTCTCGCTTTATGCTTTTACCACTTAAAGAAGCTGATCTTCGTAACATTATCGAGAGGAATGAAATGGAGAAACGTCAAAAACTTAGAGTGGAGTTTTTTACTTCATGGCGTAAAGCTTTTAAATGTGCTAGAAGTCCAGGAGAAGGGGCTGGAATTGTAGAACGTCTTGAATTGTATGAGCGTCGATGTTTGTTTGATCAGTGGAGGTTTGGATTTAACACACTTTATGAACGACAAATTCGAGAAAAGTGTATTCTTGAGAAATACGAAGCTGAGTATGAAGTGTTTTTTCACCAAGTTGTGGATAGTCTTAGAGCCCTATGGAAGCAAGAAGGTGAAGAGTTTAATCAGTTACAAAAAATGTATTTGGATTTTATTTGGTCTAACCGAGTGATTGAGTCTACAACAGTGTTGAGCGTTGAGGAAAAATACAAACGAAGGAGTATTATGGAAGCTGAGGTAAGGGAAACTGTAAAATTACGATCTTGGTTATATATTCAGCGTTGTGAAGAGTCAGCACTTAAAGGGGCTACATCAATTATGATAATGGAAGAAAATGACCGCGCTTCTCTTATGCAATGGCATCAGCACATCGTAAAAGACTATTTATGTACGCAAATATGTCGTGAAGAAGAAGAACTCCGGTTTGAAATCGAATCAGAGGCACGTGCTAATTGGACGGATATCGTACTAGAAGAGGGTGCTCCACGTGACTCCTCTCTAGCGATATTGGCGCGCTTAGAAAATGTTCAGCGTAACTTTGTTTTAGAGGAGGAGCGACAACGTCTCCTTTATTGTAGATTAAATAAATTGTGTAACAAGGAGATAATAGATCGAAAAGGTATTTTAACAAAAGAGTCCGTTAATCGTACCAGTGTATATGCAGGTATTTTGGAGTATGTAGAAGAATGGAATCGTTCAGTTATCTTCGCAGAACGTCAGTGTGACCTCATACAAGTTGCTTTGTCCAAATTAGAACATCTTGAATCTGTTGAACGTACTATAATTGAGAAAAGTGAACAGCAGCGATATCATTTTCTCTTGCATAGTTTTGATTACAATCTGCCACAGTTTAGAGCTTTTGAAGTGGATGAAATAAATGATCGTTTAGACATAATAAATGAAGCAGAAATTGAAATTAATGCGCTAGCATATACGTATGGTATACGAAATTGTGTAATGTACTCAACGAATGAATTTGAGTTAAATAATAGCGCCTTAAGCTTCTTCACCACTAGAGAACTTATCCAACTTTATGTGATTGAGTTAGTTCAAACTGTAGAACCGATGTCAAGAAGGGAAATTATGACAAGGGAAGCTCTCGAAAGACAACTCTTAACATTAAATTCAAAGGAGTTCATTGGACGACTCCATATTGAAAAAAATGCTTCAGATGCGTACAATAGTATGCAAGATTTGTTTGATCGCATATTATCTAGAGCAGATGAATGGCGAACGAGAGGATCAGTACAAGAACCGAAGGAACTTTCTGATAGAGAAGCACTTATTGAATACTTTCGCCGTCAAGAGGCATCTGTCTCTGTTAAACTCAAGGCACAACGAGAAAAGACGCGTGAAATGCTTAGTTCATTTTTTGAGGAATTTTATTGGGGACGTGATTCTATTGTACTGCAAGAGTTTGTTGCTCGTGATGAATTAAGCAACTCTCTTAAACGACCATGTCTCGATGTATCTTGCTTACAACAACATGAACCCGCAACTGAATTAAGTGTCCGGTTCTATAGCCTTGCAATAGTGACAAGAGATGTGTTGGGACCACTTACCATAAAGGTATCGGATTCATTAGATGGATCAGGTATGACTTGTGAGTTGCGTGAGGCTCAATCCATTTCTGCTGCTGGAAACATTTTTCATATCTTATTTCCTGTCTCTCTTCTAGAATGGGTGAAACCTTTAACTGAAGAAAGTAGCATGCTTTACTTTGAAGCAAGAAGCCCGGATGGAAGTATAGTGGCGACCGCTTCCCTTCTTATTAGAAGCGAAGATATACAGAACAACGTTGGCGCCAGTGTTATTTCAGTTTCTTTGGATGATTTGCGTGGTAAAGTGAATCTGATTTTGCATGTACGATAGATGGAATCTTATATTTTCTAGGTACTGAATGTAAATGCTTTTATCTTTCGATGGCGTTTCTTTTTTTTTTTTTTTTTTTACATTTTTCCTTAAATGTACAGTTATAATTGGAAAGTATGTATTTGTATTTTTTTTTTTTCTTATTCCTTTTTTTTCCTCTAAATTTCTTTCTTTATATATTTGTCTGTGGTTTGTTTTTCTTGTTTTTATTCTTAAAATGAGATCTACGAGTTGTTTTTTTTTTTTTTTTTCTTTCAAGTTTTTTTTTTTTTTATTTTGTTATTTATTTATCCTTCTATTTATGTCTGATAGCAGTGGTTTTACAGTCCCTGTAAATTTAGCCGATGTGATACTGCGTGATTTGTGTGGGCAGTGTACCATAGACGATTCCGCACGAACCGTATTTAATTCATTTGTTGAGTTTATTGTAAACCATGAACGAGAAAAAAGTACATCAGGAGAAGAAGGAGAGGGAGGAAGAGGGGAGTGTGAAGAAACCCTGGGTTCATGAACAATTAAATAGTCTGAAGCACTTCCAGCAACACTCAAGACTTCATTTTATTGGACAGTGGAAAACAAGAGCACATGATTTATTTAAAGAATGGTTTAAAGTGAACCCCGAGTGGAACCACGGTGTTCTGAGGCAACAGATACTCTTCGCACATTTGGATATGGATGCTTTTTTTTGTAGTGTTGCCCTCGCAAAGGAGGAGAATGCCCATCTGCGGGATAAGCCTGTTGGTGTGGCGGCAGGGAAATTCAACAGTGATATCTCTTCTTGTAATTACATTGCGAGGACGTATGGTGTACAGGCAGGTATGTACGTCAACGCTGCAAGAGAAATATGCCCAAATTTACATATTTTGAACTACGATTTGCCACGTTGTGAAGAAGTAACGAAGTCTCTTTACCGAATTTTATTTGAATTATGTCCAAATTTAGTGAATATAGCTGTTGAAGTTTACAGTATCGATGAAGTCATGATTGCTTTTGATACTGATGATATAGATACAGTAAAACAGTACTGTAATAATGTCCGTCAAGAGTTAGAGAGATCAACTCATTGCACAGCTTCTTGTGGAATAGGTCCCAATATTATGCTTGCTCGTATAGCCACTAAATTTGCAAAACCAAATGGAATACATATCATTCCCCCTGAGAATGTATCAAGTATTGTTGAACAACTTCCTTTTAGTGAAATACACGGTGTTGGACATTCTACCTTAACAAAGTTACGTCCTTTGTTAAGACCTTACTTTAGCGAAGTAGATATAAATGATGAAGAGCTTCGTTGTCGTCATGTGCAGAAGTTAACAAAACAACAGTTACAACAATTTCTCGGTAAAAAGGCTGGTGAAAATTTTTACAACTTATGTCGTGGGAATGATTCACGTCTAGTTACTCGTACTGGTGATGAAGAAAATCAGCGAATACTTGGGAAGAAAACTCCTACTAGTGTTGGTTGTTCTATGAACTATGCAGTACGACCTAATTCTCTGGATGATGTGTGGAGTATTGCGAGAGAACTACTGGAGGCAGTCTGTACTAAACTGGAGCGAGGAGAGTACTCTTGTTCTGGTCTACGAATAACAATTCTTGAACGACATCCACTGCATCCAAAGGACACACAAAAATTTATGGGAAGAGGTAAATGCGTCGAATTTCATATGACTGTTAACTTTGAATCCCCTCTGAAAAGCTCTGATATTGAAACAATGTTATTTCGTGTGCAAAGTACTCTGGCACCGTTTCTTGTTTTAAAACGATCACTGACAGACGTGGAGAGGGCTGATGAACTTGGATTAAGTAGTGATATGGAATCTGGTATTATTTGGACAGTCAGCATTAACGATCTCAAGGACATTGTGATTTCTGATATTCGGGGAATGACCATTCAGGCCATATCTCTTCACTTGGGAAGTAATTGCATAAGTAACTTGAAACGTTCACGTGGTATGCAGATGTCTCTTGTTGATGCTTTTTCAAAAGCCACGAGAGGGGAGCAACAACAACAAGAAGAAGAAGAACAAGAAGAGTTAGAGGTTGAGAATTTATTGTCAAATCCTTCACAAGCGGTGGGAAAAACTTTCGAAATGTCTACTCTTGAAGAACTGATGAGCCGTGATGTGGATGAAAGTTTTTTGAGGGACTGGAAAAATGCCGCAGATCGTGTCGGTCGTGATGTTGATTATACGGCAATGAAAGCTCTTCTTCGCGTTGCAGCGTTTCGATGCGCAAGCAGTTTAAAATCTCCTATTGAGGCAGAAAAAACTTTTAAGGGGCTTCTGATGTTTGCAAATTCCTTGTTACCCATTCCTGTTACCTTCGCTTAAGGCGTAGTTATCACCACTTATACATATATAAACGCTGCAAACCCTTTACCGTACATTCACACACATAATTAAGCAGAGAGAGAGAGAGAGAGAGAAAAAAAAAATTTTATCTCGTGAATTCTTTACCTCAGACGGATTTCAAATATCTCTGGTATGCTTTTTTTTTTTGTGTGTGTGTGTTAATTTTTCTTTTAATTTGCTGATTTTGGCTTCTGAATTTCGTTCTTTTGTGAGATGCTTTTTTCTCCCTCTTTTTTTTCGGTACTGTTCTTTTTTTTTTTTTTTCGTTTCTTAGCTCTCGAATGGAACTCATGCTAGCTCAAGAGGTGGGGCGCGCCGCTCAATACCTCAAGATTGGAAACCATGGGGGCGCAGAGAACGTTATTCGAACCTTACAGGAAATAAATGACCCATTAGTGGTTACGTGCACTGTTAATATACTTAATAGCGAAGTGCTTCCCTCAGACTCCGATATTATTACCTACGCGCATTTTATTGCCTTTCGCTTGTTAAAATATTATCTTATACGTAAACGTGATATTCGTGAGGATAAGAAGGATTTGTTAGTTTTCTTCTTTAACTATGTCGAGAAAAGAGACGGAGAAATTTTATCACCTGCGTGGCGTTCTGTTTTGTCCGAAGTTGCGTTGACTATGGCTGTTGTGCTAAAGTTGAGTTGTGTAAATGCTGAAGGTGGTGTTAGTGAATCTTCTATGTCGGAGATGATATTAGAGATTATTTCAATTTTAGATCAACGTAGATGTGAGTCTCAGGTGGTTTTTATTCGTCATTTGGTACTACACATTGTTGAGGAATTTGGTCTTTATCATTCAGCTTCACGTGGACGTGGGATGTCGGTGGAATTTCACCGTGCCTGCCGTTCGCTATTTGAGTGTAGTGGTTTGGTACGATTTCTTCATAGTTTAGTTAACGCTGCAGCAATTGGTATTTCAGAAACTCACCGAACTGTTGAAATACTTCTTACATCTCTTAATTCTATAATGTCATGGTCCGTTCACCGTTTTTTTGAGGAGGATGCCTCAGAAGATGAGTCTGATCACTCTCTGAGAGTTTCAGGAGAGTTGTGGCAGTCGTTACTGTTGGAGGGTGTTTTGCTCTCTGGCACCTTTGTTCAGATGGACGATCTACTTCGCATGTGGTACACGGATGGTGGTATTTGTGGGTTTTCTTTTAACCGGCGGAGTATTGTAGAGTTAATAAGACAATTTTGTAGTGTTACGATGCAATCATGGAGTTTTTCGGATAGACTGAATTACGGTAAAAGATTTCTCGCATTAACGTGTTTCGTCGCTACAGATATATTAAAAAATGTAGCGGATGAAGACGCTCGAACAACTCTACCTTTAGCTATTTCTGGAGTGGTTAATATTGTGGAAAACATGCAAGATATATTTACTGATACTGAAATTGTTAGCTTTTGTGTTTTAAACCTTTCATCGTTCGCAAAGACTCTTATTGAGATTGATAAGGAGAATCCAGATGATGAAAGTATCATGGCTGCACTGGATGAGAATCTGAGTTGCCTATTTGAAATAGCCTCCATAACATCACAAAATAATTCCATTACAGCAGAAAATAAATTGGCATGTATAGATGTTTTAAATACTTTTTTATCTGCTAAATTGTCGTATGCCCATTCATCTGATGAGACAGAACATTTTTCTGACACCTTTACGACATCTCATATTTCTTTACTGGGACATATAGGACGGTTAGATCCTGAAAGAGCTACAGAGTCCTTTTCTCTGGCATTAGATGTACTTCGTACACGATATTTGGAAATGGGAAGGATAAGTACTGCAGAATGTATACAAGTACAAGAAGCTCTCTGGATTGTGCTAAAGTTAATAGATGCTTTTATAGCTGATGCATGTGATGGGGAAACTGTTTTAATTCCCTCTTGTTTTACTTCCACCGCATGGTCTGAACACCATCCTGTTCAGAGTATTATAATGAAGATTATGATTTTTTTGCAAGATGTTATGCAAAACTTACCTCAAACAAGTCCAGCTGTGGTTTCAGGTTTGCTGGAAGTGCTTGGAACCTTTATTTCTGTTTATTCGGTTACAGAAAATTATGGTAACAACTTTTTTACTCAAAACACAACAACTTTAATTTCCTTTGTGTTTTATTCATTACGTGTATTTACCTTTGAAGAAAGTGTAGGACTTTCTGGATGTCGTGTACTTGAATCAAGTTTGAAGAGTAAAGGAATGATTTCTATTTTACAGTCATCTGAAGTTCTACAAGCGGCCGAAGATATGATACTTTGTGGTCAACAATTTTTTGGAAATGTAAGAGGACGAATTGCCGCCTTTTGGATTCGTTCTGTTACTCATGAGAGACGATCAGAAAAACTTTTGACTGTCCTTCACTCCTTTGATATACGCACAACAGACTTTGCTTCTATTGATGTTGATATCTGCTTAGAAAGGTGTGCAACTCTTTCTGGTTTTTTCTTGTCTATGCAAGAGAGCGAAGAGTTGATCTTGTGTCTTGATATTGTAATGGAAATATGTAATCACCTTCTTTCTCTTAGTATCAACAGATTTTATGAGAAAGAGTTAATGATTCAGAGTACAGATATGACACTGCAACTTTTTTTATCTTGTTCAGCTGTATTAAATGGAAAACGAGTTGACTGGATAATAGATGCAGTACGTACAACATTATCTTGTGTTATGAAGTCGTTTTCTGAAGATCTTACCTGGAGAGCAGAGGAATTCCAGGAGCAGAAACACCGACTCTTAAAACTTTTATCACATCTCTTGTGTGAAGTTTCCCGATGGCAAATGATGGAATGTGATTCCCCCGAAAATGTCTTCGAACCACTAGGTTCATCTGTTATTTCTTCCTTGGCAGCATTATTGAGATTATTTGATGCTCGTTCGCTTGGTATTCCAGAATTACAAGAGTCTGTTTTTCTTGCCTTTCAATTGTGTGCAGAGGCATTTGTTTCTCAATTTGTGGCTTACTCAGATTCACAGGTTTTTTTATCGACACTTTTCTTTTCCCTCAACTCTGAATCGATTGACATTCAGCGCGTTGGAACCACCGTAACGGAGAGGGTGGTGTCGTTTCTTGGAAACTCTAGTGTTGTGAATGAAGGACTTTTCTCGCGTCTTCTTTTAACAATCATGAATAGTTTTGTGCTTGGCAGACTTTCACGGCGTCTCTCCTCTCAACTGGCAGAGAGTATTGTGACGCTATGTAGTTGCTTGTCTGTAAATGCTGTTGATGAGGTATTAAAAGAGGTAATACAGTCTAATCCTAACCAAGATATTTTACTGCTATTGGAAAAAATAATGTTACTTGTTAAAAACTGCTTGTTATGTACAGGACCAAGCCGACGAACAGCTCTTAGCAGTTTGACTGGGGCTATAGCAGAAGGCCTCGGTAACATCAAGGGTGGACTTCTCGTTTAATTTGTACTGACGTGAATAGTAAGTATATAACGGTGGCTATGCTGAAAGATTCAGAACAGGTACAAATAAATAATAAACAGGAAAGAAAATGAATAAACAAATACTATATATATATATATATATATATATATTTGCTTCCTTGCTCCAAATAGTATTTTTTTTTTTTTTTTTTTTGTTTTGTTTTGCACACTGTTTCCCCATTCTGTTATACTTCTTGTATAATCAAGAATAAGAAAATAAACGATAAGAAAAAAAAAAATAGTAAACCGTTACACTATAATAGAAAGGGGAAAGAGAAGGAGTTCCTATGGCTCTTCAACAGACAGCACATAGTGCATGCTCACGCAAAGTTCATTGTGTGACGAAACACTACCTTGATGATCCTTTTGCCGCATATTTTGCCAAAGATACTACAATAATTAACAGTCCCTTGATGAACCGCGGTACATGGCTGCGTACTGTTGCTATTGAACGTAGTTTGTTATCATTTGCGAAGAAACACTCTGGTGATGGCCCTCTGCAGGTCATAAGCTTTGGCGCCGGTGTTGACACATTGTATTTCCGTTTACGAGAACAGCATCCAGATGTGAAGATTGGTAAATATATTGAATTAGATTTCCCAGATATGATAACAGAGAAGCAGAATATAATACGAAGGACAGAGAAACTGAAAAGCCATGTTGGTCCAGAGTATGAATTGATTTCTTGTGATCTACGAAAGACCGATGAACTACTTGAAATTCTAAAAAAAAATGTCTCTGCAGATATGCCTACAGTATTGTTAGCGGAAATGGTTTTTGTTTACCTTGATGAATCCATATCGACAAAAATACTTGAACTTACCTTAAATGATGTTCTTAAGGAAGACACTAGTGTTTTACTCATTGCTTATGATGCCATACGTCCTAATGATCGTTTTGGGGAAGTAATGGTTAGTAATCTTGCCTCTGTAGGAGTGCATCTTCTGGGAATACAAAAGTTACCGACACCTGAAGCTCATGCAGCACGTTGTAAGAATGTGGGTTTCACAGACGTCATGGCGACATCTATGAGGCAATTATATCTCACAGTCCCGCAAGATGTACAGAAATGGTTAACAAAACTTGAAATGGTGGACGACTGGGATGAATGGTGCATAATGCATGATCATTATTGTTTTATTTTAGCGACGAAAAACACGGAAGCTATAACCACTGTATTTTAATGTTATTTACAATCAATAATAAATAAACCACATGTATTTCCTTACTACCATAAATAATATTCCTTTTAAGGAGGGGATCGTGCTTCCCCTCCTCCCCCACACCCTCCTTTTTTTTTTTTATTGTTCTATTCAATTCTCCCCATTTTTTTTATTGTTATTATTATTATTAGCGTTTTTCTTTTTTCTTTCACAAAAAAAAAAAAGAAAATGTCAGTTGATGATCTGAAATTAAAGGGAAATGAGGCGTATAAAGCCAAAGACTATGAAGCTGCCGTCCAGTGGTATACTAAAGCTTTGGACATCAATCCCAAATCAGAGGAATCCGCATCTGTATACTCAAACCGGGCAGCCTGTTGGCAGAGCATGAATAATTATTCAAAAGCACTTGAAGATGCTGAGCAGTGCATCATTGTTAAACCGTCGTGGGTTAAAGGACATTACAGAAAAGCTCTCGCGCTTCAATCCATGAGTAAATATGATGAAGCGCTAAAGGCTTTTCAAGATGCTTTAAAAAATGACCCTGGTAATCAAGAGATACAGGAAAGAGTGCAGGATGTGAATAACACAATAAGAGAACGTGACAACAAGGCAGATCCCGCAACCTGTAAGTCTTCTGATGAGGCCAAGCGCATTGGTGGTTCTCTTTTTGCGGCAGGTAAGTATGATCGAGCTGCGTTATTTTACTCACGTGCCATTGAACTTAGTACTGAAAGCAATAAGGATCTTGCTATTTACTACGCAAATCGTGCGGCCTGTTATCAGCAAAGACATGATTATCAACTTGTTATCAGTGATTGTGATAAGGCGATTGAAATTGATCCCAGTAATGTAAAGGCAATCATTCGCCGTGCGATTGCCTACGAAGGCATTGAAAAATGGAGTAAAGCTTTGAGTGACTATAATCAGGCTAACCAACTTTCTCCAGGAATGCCTACCGTGTCGCAGGGTGTACTGCGTTGTCAGCGTGCGTTGCGAGGGTAACCCCTGTAAGTTCAAACATTCCCTATTTTGCTTTTTGATTCTATATTTTTTTGGTTAGTTAGGTTGATTTCTTGTTTCTACACTATATATATATATATATATATATATTTATTTATTTATTTATAGTGTGTTGATGTGTTGTATGTGGAACAAACAGTGAGGTTTTCCTGATTTTTCTATATGTATGTATGGTATTTATTTTTTTTTCTTATTATTGTTATTATTATTATTATTATTATTATTATTATTATTATTATTATTATTATTCTTATTGTTATTATTAATTTTATATCTGTACTATAAAAGCATAATTAATATGGGTACCAAAAGGAGGCTTCTCTATCTTCCTGATGAAGAGGCTGCATTACTTGGTGAACTAACAGACTCGCCACGTCCACGGCCCTCTCGCCTATCGCGGTTACCCATTCCCTTATCAGACAGTGAAAAGAGGAATTCACCCACTCACGATGGTGTCGAGACTTCCACCACAAACACTATTGATACTTCTGTTTTTGTCTCATACAATGGATATACTTTGGCAGATGGATCAGGCACTCTTCATCCACCGTCAACAACACGAGATGCCGTCGCACTCTATAGATCACTTAGAAACTGTTGTACGTACTTGTCCACCTATATCCAGCCTCAGTACATACCTGAAACACAAACAGATTGTTCGTCATCCTTATCTTTGAGCAATTACAGTAGATACGGTGAATACTCTGATTCTGAAAGTGACTCTGAGCCGCGTCCAAGGTCACGCAAGCGACGCAAGCAAGAACCTGATTTATCAAGGAAGAATGGTTATTCTCAAATGACAGTTCTAGAACTTCGAGAACTACTTCGAGAGAGAAACCTTCCTATTTCTGGAGCCAAGGCGCTTCTTATTTCTCGTCTTGAAGAAAGTGACGCCACTCTACTTGAGATGAATTGCAGCGATAAGAGCGTCAAAACACCACTAGAACCCACCAATGGTGACACCTCTGATGAAGACTCTTATTTTGAACTGGAATCTGAAAAGGAAAACAAACCTTCTAATATGTGGAATACGCTTCTTAATATAGGGTCGAAACTTTTCCGTAGATCCACCGGATCTCATCCTGAAGATTCGGATAGTTTACTTCGCAAACGTCGACGAAGTGCATAGTTTGTACTTGATTTTTTTTTTTTTTTTTTTTACCCTGAAGGATTTTTTTTTACTTATTTTTTTTGTTATTATTTCCTTTATGGTGATTCATTTTTGGAGGAATTCTGTTTTAATCTTCGGCGTTAGTGTGAATATCCTTAATAATCAATTTCTTACCGGACCTTTTCATATGTAAAATTTTCTTCGTAACTCCCGCAAATATCTTTTGGTTTAATACGATTATAATAATTACTAATTTATTATTTCTTTTTTTTTTTTTAAGGAGATTCTAAAAAGAAAAAGAAAAAAATATATATATATTACAAATTGATACGAAAATGCAAGACTCATTTGTTATCGGACTCGACTATGGCAGTGATTCCGCACGTGCCGTTCTTATTCGGGTTCGCGATGGGAAAGAGTGTGCAGTAGCTGTTGAACCGTACCCCCGTTGGAGCAGACAAGAGTTCTGCGATGCATCCAGTAATCGTTACCGTCAGCATCCTCTAGATTACATGGAGGTACTTGAATCCATTGTACGGCGAGTTCTGTCACAATTCTCGCCAGACGTGAGAGATAACGTTGTGGGATTGGGATTCGATACCACAGGCAGCACACCTGGTTTTGTAGATGAAAAAGGTACTCCACTGGCACTAAAAGAAGAATTTGCAGATAATCCAAACGCTATGTTTATTCTTTGGAAAGATCATACTTCAGTAAGAGAGGCGGCAGAAATTACTAACTTGTGTAAAAAGTCTAAAGTTGATTATACTGCTTATTCGGGTGGTACATACTCTTCAGAATGGTTTTGGTCTAAAGCTCTTCATGTTCTAAGACAAGATGAAACTATTCGTGCGGGTGCCTATGCGATGCTTGAGCTATGTGAGTGGCTTCCTGCCCTTGTGACAGGAGCGACTAGTTATTCTCACATACCACGAAGTCAATGCGCATGCGGTCACAAGGCAATGTGGAATGAAAAATGGGGTGGATTTCCGCCTGCAGAGTTTTTTTCTCAGTTAAATCCAGCATTGGGGGCCATGCGCTCTAGAATGACATCTCTTCCACAGACAGCTGAAAAACCCGTTGGTACATTATCCCCCGAATGGGCTCAACGTCTGGGGCTTAAAGAATCTGTCGTTGTTGCAGGAGGGGCTATAGATTGTCATATGGGCGCAGTAGGTGCTGGTATTCAAAAATACACATTTGTTCGTGTTATGGGAACTTCTACTTGTGATGTTATGATCTCTTCTCATGAAGATATTGGTAACAGTCAAATTAAAGGGATATGTGGGCAGGTGGAAGGATCAGTAATTCCAGGTATGATTGGACTTGAGGCAGGTCAAGCAGCATACGGAGATGTTTATGCGTGGTTTGCATCTTTACTTTCGTTTCCACTTAAAGTGGTAATTCAAAACTCTACAGCAATTAATGATGAAACCAAAAGAAAACTTTTGGAGATATATCGACATAATATCTTTGCCGAATTGTCTTCCAAAGCTGAAAAAATTGAACCTGCACATGGAAATGTTATTGCTGTAGACTGGTTAAATGGAAGGCGAACTCCTGATGCTAATTTATTTCTGAAAGGAAGCATTGCAGGTCTTACTCTGGCTACTGATGCACCTAGTATTTATCGTGCTTTGGTTGAAGCTACAGCGTATGGATCAAAGGCCATTGTTGAGCGATTTCAAAGGGAAGGTGTGCGTATTGACCGCGTTATTGCTGTAGGAGGTATTGCAAAAAAATCTCCATTGGCAATACAGACATTAAGTGATGTTCTCAATGTACCTATAAGTGTTTGTCGTACGGATCAAGGTTGTGCCCTGGGTGCGGGTATATTTGCGGCTACTGCTGCTGGACTGTACAGTAGTGTTGAGTTGGCTCAGAAAAGTATGACTAGTGGATTTGCTAGAGAGTACAAACCCTCTCAGGAAAGAGCTGCTGTTTATAATGAGCTTTATAAATACTACCAAGAGCTTTGTTCTGCGACTCAAACGGAATCCTTTTCTCATCTTTAAGCCTTGCCATCACAAAAAAGTAGTAGAACGGAAATGAGGTATTCAAAACGGTAGAATTTTTTTTGTTTATCTTATTTTTTTCTTATTAAAACAAAGACGAATATGAAGGTCTTTTTTTTTTTTTTTTACTCTTTCTGTCTGTGCCTCCACTTCTCTTTTCCGCTACTTTGAGAGGATGCTCTATTTGAAGAACCTGGGCTTTTTTTTTTTATTGACAGCTTGCGAAGAGAATGATCAAATCTTACATTAATAGGAATCAAATTGTGCATGGGTTTTAATCTTGGGAATATTATTATTTTTTTTTTATCTTTACAGTCTGCCTAAATGCAAGTTCCTGAAATCCCCACCCAACCTCAACCCTCACCGTCCCTTTGCGGTAGGCGGGTTAAAAGGGCTTCTCAGAACACTTCCATTTCCTCAGTTCTGTCATTTAATAGAGAACAATCATCGGTGAAAAACATCGGGATGCATATATGAATTATGGGAATGTAGGGTTTAAGATGATAAAGTAACGTATTGTTTTCTTTTTTTTTGTTTAACACCGTTTCTTTAAGGAGAAGGTGGGGTATAGATTATTCTGTTTTTTTTTTTTTTATTATTATTCTTTTATTTTATTTCTCCTCTACTGAATGTTGAGCTTTCAACTTTTTTGCTGCCCTTACTTCAGATCATCGCTGCTGCTTAGGAAGGAAAGAAGGAAAAATGTCTTCAGCAGAAGAAGAGGCCATTGCAAAGTTGTACGCTCAGCGACAGGAGCTCCTAAGGCAGCTCAGTGAAATCAATAGCATTATTCGCAGTATGGAGCACCAAATGAACGAGAAGGGGGCTCAAAATGGAGCCAAGATGCACGTGGATGACACCGTTGTGGGCTGCACGGATGCCGAACGTGCCAGCAGTGTTCTTGACTCTTGCCTTGGAGACGCTAATGGTTTAAGAGATGCAGTGAAGTTAATTGATGCTTTCAAGTCCCTTCGTGAAAGTACGGTAGAAGGTGAAATTAATGTTCAAAAACACCGGTTTTGTAACACATTTATACATGAAATGATTAGTAGAGCACATATTCTTATGCTTGATCCAAATGGGAGTGAACTCATAATGCACGCACTTACCTTGTTAAAGAATGGAGAAACTTTGCCTCCTTCTCTGTACTCAAATGATGATGGCACAAAACCAGACGACAAATTTTCAGAGATTCTTTTTCTTTTATCAAATATAAAAGATCATATTGAAGAGGTTTGCTGTGATACAAATGGTACACGAGTCATGCAGAAATTACTTGATTCACTTAAAACTATAGAAGAAGTTTTATTTTGTGCACAGTGTTTCTCTAATTCTATTATTCAACTTTGTAAAGATATCAACGGGAGCCATACTGTTGTTCGTCTTTTAGCTGCAGCACGTTTTCCTTTTTTAACTGAAGAAAATAACGAGGTAAGTGATAACGACAAGAATAAAATAATACTTATTCACCAGTTACTGTATGATAAGTTTGCAGAACACTGTGTTGATGTTTGTAAAAATCGACAAGGTTGTTGTATAATTCAAAAATGTCTTCAGTGGGCACCTGAGCCATATTTTTCCACAATAATTGGTATAGTTCTTGAAAATACACTCAAACTTGTGCATGACCCTTTTGGAAACTATGTGATACAATTCATTCTGGATCATGAAGAAGAACTTTCACAACGTGCTAATCAAAATTCTGAAACAACAAACTATACGAACCAGATTATACGACAAATGCTACACAATGTTGCGTCCCTTTCATGTGACAAGTTTAGTAGTAATGTCATTGAAAAATGCTTAAAGATTGCCTCTACAGATGTAAGGCAACTTTTGGTTGATGAGTTAACCGATCCACAGGTGTTACCTAAACTATTGACTGATGGGTTTGCAAATTACGTTATCCAAACAGCTATTGCTACTTCTTCAGAAGAAACACAGTTTGCACAATTACGCAACTCTATTCTCCCTCTTCAGAATCTTCTTAAAAATTCACCATATGGTGTTAAGGTGGAAGCCAAACTGGCACGCCGTCACCGTGAATTGGTTCGTAAACAATATCAACAAAAACAGCAGGCTCGGCGGGGCACAGTCCCTTCCCAGCATGCGGAACATAGTGGTAATGAAGCCGCCATAATGGGGGCACAATTTTTTCATGGTATGCAACCTATTCAAACTGTAACAGAAAATAAAAACCTTGATCAACAAACGGTTACGTTTTCTAACGTACCAAAAAACATTCCGTCTATGATAACTCAACCGTCTTACATGCCTTTTATGTTTCAAGGACAACAAACACTCATTGGTCTTCAAGGTAATTCTCATCAGCCTTTTCAAGTAAACATGATGAAAGAAGGCGCTTTTTGGGGACATCCATCACCAGGTATTACATTGTTCCAGAACCCTAATCAACGACAAGAAGACAGGTAGTATTTTTATCTTTACCTTGCGTATACCGTTTTCATACTGATTTATAGTGAGGTTTTTTTTTGTTTTTGTTTTCTTATTCTGTTGAACTGTAACGGATCATTATGGGGAAATCCCCAGTATTCATATAGTAGGAACAGATGTGTGTCGATCTGCTGAACGTTTTTTTTTTTTTTTCTTTTTAATTACAAAAGAAAGGATGAAATGAATGCATGAATGATTGATTATTAGCCCTTCATACTGTTGCGCGTTTTCTCCACCTTATTATTATTATTATTATTATTATTATTATTATTATTATTATTATTATTACTATTATTATTATATACATTCAGTTGTGGAATGTGGGGTGGTGTGGGGGGGAGCACGTGTTTGTGTGTTCCTCTCTGAGTCTCTATCGACACCGTTCATAGGACAATGTGCTGCAGAATTCGATTTTTTTTTTTTTTTTAGAGATAAGAAATGAGAAATAAAAAGAAAGAACCAATGTGCTACAAGGATATCGTAATTTTAGTGTGCATAGATGCAGTACTTCCCATGCTTCTGTCACAAGGTGTTTTTTCTTTTCTTTTTCTTATCTTTGCTTATTTCCATTCTTCACGGTATTTTCGTATCAGTCTTTATTATGATATTATGTGTACGATATTTCTGTGATTTTCCTCTTGTGTTTTTTTTTTTTTTGCCGTTGGCACTATACTGTAGTGAGTAGTATCTGCAGTGATGGCTTTATAATTAATGCAGCAGGGAAGTGTGGGGGACCTCTCTTCCTCAAAGGTTTTCTACGGTGACTTTCTGTCACCTCGTAGATAGGTTCACAAAAAATAAACCCATCATATTATACTTATTTTCTGTAATTGAGAAAAAAGCTTCAACATCAGCAGTGTCAAAATAAATCTAAGGGATATTGTGGTAGGTTTTTTGTTTCCTGGATTTCTAACTATCCAGAAATACGTTCTTGGTTTCATTGATAATACTTGTGACTAGTAGTCGAATCCCGATATTCTAGAAAAGAGAAATTAATCTTTGCGGAATATTTCGTGCAATAACAACTGTCCTATTTCTCACAAGATGTCAAGGACGTTGAAAATGCAGGCGTTGGAGAGTTAAATTATCGTGTGAATCGTTAAATTCGCAACTATGATATCATTGGTAGAATTCATCAAGAGGAGGATCTGGTGATTTTATACCCACAAAGGGACTACTTGTCACCACCGAGAGTCAAAGAAAACCTCGTATATATTAGTGTTTCTTTTTTCCTTTTCCAGCAATGACATATGTTCTTATAACGAACATTTTATCGCAAGGCAGTGCTTTTAAAGATTACAAACCCATCATACACTTGATTCAGATAGGGATACTGGTGTCTCTAGGGCTGGCTGGAGTGATCGCAAAAAAAAAAAAAGTGATGCTCTTCCTGATCTACGCATGTAGCAAATGAAGGGTTTTGCAACAAGTATATTTGTCCATGTTTTCTTGGATTATTCTCTAAAATACATTACCCAAACATATTGACGTTTCCGTTTGTTCTTCTTATAATGCGTATATTAACAAGAGTGTTCTGCTCCCAAATTTTTATTTTGGGATCTGTTCAGTTTATGTAGATATAGTTAAAAAAAAAAAAAAATGAACACAAACAACATCTATTCGTAGATGATATGATGATATGGATGTTACATTGGATTTCGCGTCCTGGTATCGTTCACAAAGACGTCTATTAAAAATAAAATAACCTATTTTCTGCTGTTTGAATAGGAATCTGTTCTCTGTTTTTTTTTGGGGGGGTGGGGGAGGGGGGATATCGTTAAAGGCCTATGATTGATGACACCATTTCCTTTAATGATGTAGTTATGAGCTTGTTGTGACTCATTTGTAATAAGTTTAGTTTTAACACTAAAGATGAAAAAAAAAGAACACCATGACCACAGTCAATAGTAGAACACCATTGATAAAAGTCATCTTTAATTTTAGCTGATTAAGGGAGAAGATTGACTTTTAAATAAAAAAAACAGAAAGGGAAGAATAAGTGAACCCTAGCATAGTGGGTGTATCGTCTGTTAAGAATCTCTGTGTCTCAGTTCTCTGGTGCTATTTATAATATGGGAGAATTGCCCCCCCCCCCCCCCCCCCCCCCCCCCCGTTCGACCCACAGCGTTTCTAAAAAGAACACTTTTTCACTGCATCAGGGAATAACTGAAGAGAAAAAAAAAAAAAATCGAAAAAAAATTATATGATGATTGGAAGAAAAAAAAAAAAAAAAAAACCTTTTTTTCTTTTTCTTCTTAATAAAATGTTTTTGGGTTAACTGATTACATTTCATTTTTTTTTTTTTTTTTTTATGCATTGTTTGGGAGCTTTTTAAGTTTTTTCTTCCATGCACATGCTTGACCTTCTCCCTTTTGTTGTTCATGAGATTCATCAGTGCTAAAGGACTAATGGGCTGTAACAACACCAAGGCGAAAAATGGAGATTTTTCAGGCTCCAGTAATCGATCAGATGGGTGTATTGCAGAAGAATTTGCCACCCTTGCTAAACAGAATCCTGTTGCTGCTACACTACTTGAAGAGTGGAATAAATTTGTATATTCCATTTCCGGAGCGTCAGCAATAATAAGAAAAGAAGTTTGGGCTGATTGCACAAATAAAGGTCTGACACACCGTTCTGTTGATACAGTGGGAAAACTATTCTTGGTGTACATAAGGAACGATCTTACATCTCGTGGATGGGGTGGTAACTTTGACTACAGTGTGGTTGGGGTTTCCAATCAGGGCTACTTAAAGGCTAATGCCACAGTGGACTCCAGCAATTCATCCAGCCGCTCAAGGGAATCCTCATGGGAGGTCAAGGTGCATTACCTAACCACGGCGAAGCCATCTCAATAACAAAAGAAGAAGAAAAAACATTTCATATGTGATTGTATCAATTACTGTGCTCAATTTACTTTCCAGACACTATGTGTCTTTGATGTTTAATAGAAGGAAATGACAAACATTTCAAAGATCTCCTTCATCTAATTCATCACTCTTAGCTTATATGTGCTGTATATTTTCTCTTTCTGTGGCTGACCACAGTATTTTTTTTTTTTTTTCTTTCCTTTTAAGCGAACAAGGAGTGTATGATGCATAGTATACCAGATATCTTTAACACAATTTCCAAATATTCCCCTTTTCTCTTTTTTCTCTACAACGAAGAGGTTCTCACTCAAAGAACAAAATCGCAAACTCATATAAGGAGAATTGGTTTAATAGGCGCCAAAATATTATGCTATATAAAAATATGGCAAAACGTATGGGTGGAAGTGTTTCCTAGGAAATATGCCTTTACGACCATATTGAACAAAGTATGTTACAGAAAAGAATAAGAAGCATTGTTTTTTTTTTTTTTTTTTTTTTGCGAAGGCTAACATAGATGGACTCTCGTGTTCACGTGAACGGAGGATAGGTGGGGACTGAATCGGATATAATAGGGTCGTTAACATTGTTAGGCCCTGTTTACATGATCATATTCTACAAAAAGAGAGTATGACAATTATTGAAGAACTCATTGAACAGTATGGAATTTGGAAACACACTATGCTATCTGATTTGGAAGTTCGTTGGGACTGACTCAGGACCACTATTCGCGTTTTGGCGTTAGAATGAGGAAAGGAAGGGGACGAACAGTAAAGGAAGGAGGACTGTGGCAATGTTGAGTGGTCTGTCGTACTAACCGTGTCTAGTGTTGTTCATTGCCGTAGTGAAGTCAACAGACAAAAGCAGCATTTCCCTCATATGCATCATGTTGTTCTTATTGCTGATCTGCTGCTTTGTAGGGGCCCAACAAACACGTAAGGACCAATGAGGTCTCTTGTTTGTGGATGGTGTTATCTTTTTCAGAATGGGAGAGTGTTTCACCATGCCATGAACTGCACCATCCACATCAAGTTAGTACTGATTTATGTGTGGGAGAGATAACCCTCGCCACTTCTTCAAAGAGGGCCTGTAGTGTAGTGTAGTGTAGTGGGCATTCAATTCCCTCAACAGTCCTGCATTGCCCTATACATCACTGGGATTTGGACAATGCCCGTGCTCTGACCATACAGATGAAGCAGAAAGAATGTGACATCAAACTGCCGTATGCGGGTGACAGTGCGTGGGAGTGTAAATGAAAACCCTCTTAGAAAAGTGTGAGAAATAAGGTAATGTTTTATTCATTGCTGGTAACGATGAAGTGTGTGAGAGAGAACTGCCTCTCCAGTGGGGGAAAAAAAAAAACAGGACACAAAAAAAAAATAATGTTTTGTATTTGTGAAGTGGTGTGTCATATGAACTTTTACCCACTACAAGCCTGTTCTTGTAATTTGCCGGCATTTCATACACTTTCAGCATTTTCTTTCTTGACACTAACAGTTTTTTTTTTTTCTTTACGGATTAAGGGCTTCCAAACCTGTGTGGGGAACTAAAAGAAAAAAAAAAGAGCGATTGAGGGTCACAGATGCTTGAGTACGTATGCGGATAATTATACAATTGGTTAAATTGGGATTGCAATGGGTGTGAAAGTACACCATAAACAGTTAGTGGTTAAAATTTTTTTGAGTTACGCGGGGGTGCCCGATAGTGCAGGGATGGTGATTGAATTTTCTTGCATCTTGAGGCTCACTATGGGTGAGAGGCACCAGGGTTTTCGATACTCCGAGGGTTGATGCTTGTGTTGACTCTGTCTAACAGTGTTTCTTCTTTGAAGATGAATTTCTGTTGATGTTTTTGTTTTCTTTCTCTCTTCTCCAATTTTTTTTTCGAATAGACAAAGCGAAGTTTCTATTAATTAAGCAGTGGTGACACGCCGGAAGAAAAAAGGAAAAAGCAAATAGCAGAACAAGACACTTGTAAGAAATTACAGCGGGAGGACCGAAACCGGCATATGAGTTTACAAGCTGAGTGGAAGGCAAGGAGATCCATGTGCAAGACTCTTTTGTATGTGGAGCTTGTGTTTCTGCTTCTTGTGCTCTTCTGTAGCGGAACGGCACAAAGCTCTTTCACGAGGAGGGGAGGACCAAAGCGAAAATTTCTGTTCAGACAAGGTAAGACATCAGTACCCTTTGAAGAGGACAATGGAACTATCACGAAAAGGGTTGTCCACTCGTTTCGAATTCCCAGCCTTGTTGAGGTGAATGGTGTGCTTGTTGCCATTGCGGATGCCCGGTACATCTCTGGTGATGATCAATCCTTTATTGAAACTGTTGTGAAGTACAGCGTGGACGGCGGTAGCACGTGGAAGACGCAGATTGCAATCAAGAACAGTCGCGTGAACGTGAACCGCTCTCGTGTGATGGACCCGACGGTCATTGTCAAGGGAAACAAGTTATACGTCACTGTTGCAGGGTTTTATGAGTCGCCTCACAACTGGGTTCAACAGCCTGATGGAAGCGATTGGTATACACTGTTGGCTATTGGTGAGGTGAATAAGTGGACTGTGAATGGGAAACCAATTGCATCGATCACGTGGACGAAGCCTGTCTCTCTGAGTTCCATTTTGCCCAAGTGGGTAGATGGAGTGCGAACAAAACAGTTTATTGCTGGTGTGGGTCCATCGATAGTGACATCAAATGGAACCCTTCTGTTCCCTGTTCAGGTGTCAAATTTCGATAAACGCGTTTCTGTTTCAATGATCTATTCAGTGGATGACGGTGCGACGTGGGCGTTTTCAAAAGGGTTCACTCCTTATGATTGTACTGAGTCTGCTGTTGTTGAGTGGGAGGAGGGGAAACTAATTCTGAACAGTCGTCGCGACAACGGTTACCGCAGGGTATTCGAGTCATCTGACATGGGAGAGACGTGGAAAGAAGCACTAGGGACGCTGTCTCACGTCTGGGGTAACTCGCCTTCACGTACTGGTCCTGGATGCGAAGCTGGCTTCATTGCTGCGACGATTGAGGGGAAGCGTGTGATGCTTTTCACTCACCCACTGAATTTCCAAGGAGCTTATAATCGCGACCGACTCCACCTTTGGATGACAGACAACCAACGCATTTTTGACGTTGGGCAGATTTCGCATGGGGTTGAGAAAACTCCCTATAGCTCTCTGCTTTACACCGACGACAAACTGTTCTGCCTGCACGAAATCAAGACCGAAGATGAAATTTACAGCATCGTTTTATCATACCTTGAAAACGAGCTGCAGCTGATGAAGTCCGTGTTGACCTCTTGGAAAGATCAGGATGAATACCTTTCGGGTATTTGCCCCTCCGCTGCATCTGTGGTCCCATCGCAGAAGGGTGAATGCAAC